AAATAAGGTGCCTTGCATTTTCATTTTTCACTGGGCCCTGCAAATTGTGTAACTGGTTTAGGGTCAAGAAGTTGATAACTGGCATCATTAAAATATGTGGCAGGAAACATGTTGTTGCTTTCATATTTCTTGAGATCCTCTGTTGATTATGAAACAGCTACCTACCTCTTTGAGTTGGAGGCACTGGATTAATGATCAGTCCTAATTCTGATTAAATTGTGAGAATAGGTGTGTTATTTTCCCTTGCTGAATTGCTTTATCATCTGTAGAAATGAGGTGAGTAACACTGAAAGCTTCTATTTTGCCAGGGGCTGTGCTGAAGTGTTTTGTGTGCAGTTTTAGATTTAATTCGCACACCAATCCTTTGAGGCGTGTGCTATTATGATTCCCATTTTAAAGATTAGGCAATCGAGGTGGAGAGGCTCAGTTGCACGCTTAGCCTGTGGTTGAACCAGGATGTGAACCCAGAAAGTCGGACTCTGTCCTATTCCTGTACTCTTAGCCCTTCCACTATATTTCTTTCAGTAAAAGTGCCTCCATTTCAGGATTGTGGAAAATAAGGCAGGGAACTGATCTGAAAATGCAGGCACATAGTAAACGGGTGCAATATCATTTTCCATAGTTGCTGCTGTTATTATTATGATCATGGGTATTTAGCTTCTTTTATGTATGTTCCAGTTTTTCTACAAGGAATACAGATTGGTTGTGTAATTAAAAACAGAAAATTCCTACTTACCCCAGTAATAAAACCAGCTGTTTCAGTTAATGTTTTGTTTGCCAGTAAGTTTCTGCTGTCCATTCCTTCATTCTTTCCATCCCACGAGTGAGACTTAAGCAGGCATACTGGTAGCTGTAAGAATTTTATTTTGTTCTAGGAACAGCAGCACAGAAAGAATCAAGTTCATCCAGATGAAGCGGATAAGCATGTGTTTCTGAGTGTGTGTGAGTCAGCGCGCCCCCCCCCCCATCTTGCTAATAGCTGGAGTTGGCTGTTTATGTAACTTTGTCAACTGTGATTGTTTCTAGCTTTCAACATTAGCTCAGCAGAGGCACTTTATTAAGTGCCTCTTAACCCATCAGCTCTAATGCCTTTAATATTCAGTGGGGCTTAGAAGTTGGTTGGTGCAATTGAAATGATTTGCGTTACGGTTATGCCATTTGTCATTTAGCGAGAGAGGTCTGTTAAACATCTTTGGCCTTCTTACCAATGCTGAGAGAATGAATGAAAACTTAAGGGGACAAATGCAAAGGTCAGTCAGTGCACCTTAGACGGGAGGGAAGACCCTGGGACTAAGTGGGGTACAGGGTGGCAGATGAATCCTGACTCTAGGGCCAGTCCCCGCTTAGATACCGGCAGGTGACTGCACAAAATCCGGGCAAGAGGAAGAGGGTCTAGGCAGCTGCAGTACTCGGAGCCCAACAGGGAACCACCCTGGGGTGCTCACCCCAGCCTGCAGCAAGGCTGGGTGAGGCTACTGGGCACACATTCAAGTCAGTACCTGTTGGCTGGAGGCCTGCCATGAGCCAGGGGCTGAGCATCCAAGATAAAAGCCTGGAGCCAGCTCTGAGGTGCCCTCCCTCTGCCCTCAGTGGCTCAGGCTCTCCTAGGGAGCCGGGCCTGTAGAGACCGACNCACTTTAAGTCAGCTTAGCTATACTGACTTCATCTTGTTTTCTTTACTTATCCCTCATATGTAAACACAACTATAAGCTCCATTCAGCAAATATTGGATGCCTATTATGGGCTCGGTACTGTTTTTAGGTACTCTGATAAGTACTCTGGTAAGCAGCCATTGTGGCGCTTTCCAACCAGTGAATAAGAGAGATGTTCAATAACCATGAGACAATGAAGAGAAAGACGATTAAGTTGCACAAGACTCCTAAAGGATAGGAAGTCCTGGAAGAGGTCTCAGAAGCTCTGGCCTTTGGTCTATCTCTCCATTTTGATAAACGTGCGGTGTGGGCGTAACCACATAATTCCCACACATCCACAGTTAGAGCCTCTGGGTGCCATCCTGATACTCCTGCATCCTGTTTTGGTTTGCAGACTCACAAATCTTCTGGATTCCGCATGTGTAGAGGATGGATTAAGCCAGGATTCTTGAACAGCTGTTGTTGCAGGCGTCTGAAAAGCTGGATGTGCACAGGCAGGGAAGGCAGAGGGTAAGCCTTCAGGAGACATTAAATAACTTCACCCAGCTATGTGGTCTCATTGTAGAACAGCTGTGCAGAAATTCAAATGCCTAGCTTCACAAATAAATGACACTCATGTGGAATAAAATAAACCACCACCATAAGTAACTGAATCATAACCTATTTTGGAGTTCAGATAGAACTGGAGTTCAGAATCAACTGGGGGTGATTTTTCTCCTCTAGGGGACAATTGGCAATGTCTGCAGACATTTTCGGGGGACTACTACTGGCATCCAGTGGGTAGAAAGGCCAGGGATGCTGCTCAACGTCCTACAAAGCACAGGACAACCCCATAGAAAAAATTATCTCATTCAAAATGCCATTCCTTGAGAAACCATGAGATAGAACTACCTCCATATGATGCAAATATTTAATGTCACTTCGCCAGGGTTTATGAGTCCCTCTTTTTAAATTGTTTGGTGTTGCCCATTTCCAAAATGGCTTCTGACCAATCATGGAAGCCTCTGCCCAGGTCCAAAAAGGCTGCAAGGGAATCAGTAGCTGGAATGGTTTTGCCCAGGCCCTGTTGTCACCCCCTGACCGCGGAGCCGTTGGAAGAGGCCCAGTTGTGGACAGAACCATAGGAGGTTAGTGGAGCAGGGGGAAAAGGCTGGTGACGGTAGACTGAGTTTTCCATGTTCAGATCCTGGACTAAAGGAGATCATTTTAGCTCTTTTGGGAAGGGGATTACACTGTGTCTCCCCGCGTGGGGTTGGAGGCGGGTGGGATTGGGCGGACCCCGAGCCGGGTGGCATGCCTCGTCTCCTCCCCGCCGCGGCGTGTGGTAGTTCGCTCCCGGCACTTCCCTGTTTGGGGCAGTTCCGCAGGCAGAAGTGGGTTCGGTAGCTGTCAGCGCCGGCGGGAGCGCGGCGGGGCGCGGGGTGGGCGCGGCCGACCGGGTCCCCGACCCAGCCCGCGACCCCCTACTCCCGCACACCCGGCACTTGGCCCACTCACTACCCGCTCGGCCGCGTTCTGAGCCCCTCGCTCCCTCGCCTTGCGCTCTCGCTCGCCGGCCCCCGGGAGGGCGGGTGCCGGAGACCCCGCGGGGGCTGAGGTTTGGCAAGCGGGCGGTGAGGGCCCGGCTGCGGCCTCCTCGCCATGTCCTCGGTCCGCGACGCCAGTGGCCACTTCCCTTTGCACCTCCTCGTGTGGAACAACGACTACCGGCAGCTGGAGAAGGAGTTGCGGGGCCAGGTGAGGGGCGGGGCGGGGGTCCGGCCCCGGTGAGGGGGGGAGGGGAGGTCGGTTCGCCTCCCTGAGCCCATCTCCCTTCCTCTCTCGGCGCTTCGCAGACCCCTTCAATTCTGCAGTCGTGAGGCAATAATAATAATAGGACATAGATTGAGTGCTTACTGTGTCAGGCCCTGTGCGGAGAGCCGTATTACATTATCCCCTTTTGCCTTTCCAACAATCCTAGGAGGTAGGTACTGTTATTACTACGTTTGACAGAGAAGGAAACTGAGTCAGTCAGCGGTAATGTGCCTTGCACAAGGTCGCCCACTTAGTAAATACCAAGTTGGGATTTTAACTGTGGCCGGCTTGTTCCAGAGTGCACCGTCTTAACCAGTTAGGTTCCACTGCCTCTCCCAAAGAGGTAAGAACAACAGACACTGCTCACCCCATGAGCCCTTTTTGTAAGGCAGGGCTTGGTTGGGTTTGGAGTCCAGGTCCTAACTTGTCCTGTGACCTTGGGCAAGGCATTTTCCCTCTCTGGCCTGGGGAAGCTGACACCTACCGAAGTTTGAGAACCCCTGGTGCCCTGGATCCTTAAAATCCCTTCCTGTTCTAAAGTGCTTTGATTCCTTCTCTTTCATGTATTGCCGCCTCTTTAAAACTGGTTCTCTGTTGGAGGTGATTTTGACTCCTTGCCCCTCCAAATGGTAATGCATGTAGACATTTTTGGTTCTTACAAGTGGGGAGTGGGTGTTACTGGGATCTAGGGGNTTTAAAAAATATTTCTGTGACACTCAAGCTAAATCCTTCCTAAGATACTAATTTTCCGGGTACTACAAAGAAACCTTCTATGACATATGAAATAGTTATATGCATTGTTTATAGAGTGTGTGTTTCAGTGTACAATGATCTGATGGATTTATTGTTTTGTTATCTAGCTTACTGCAGGAGGAACTAGAACATCATTTGTCCACTTGACAAAACAGAAAATGACTTACTTAACATGGAACCACTCCTCACTTAAAAATTTCAATGTGAAGGATTTTCTTTTTACCTGTATTGAGCTACAACAATGAACTGCATTGAATTGTATGTTCTGCTTGAAGTTACAGACCACCCATAAATGACCTGTGTGCTTAGTGGCACCAGAGGCTGTTGTTGACATTTTGTCTCCTTATAGAATAACGTGCCCGCTTTTCTTATCCACTGCCCTTGTAGAGTGTCTTCGCTCCCATTGGAATCCTGGCTGCTTTTACTCCAGGGTAGATTCTTGGTCTTCCTGCCCTGTGCTTCTGTAAAAACCATGGCAAAACCTTAGAGGTGGGAGGGAACAGAGAAACACATGGAATTTCTAGCAAGCCTCTTCTTGGATGGTAACTGTTGAAATGAAGCAGGATGGCACTTAAGAAATTGAGGAGCTCGCCAAGAAACTTATTTTTTTTAAATATATATATATTTTTTTAATTGGGGAATTGAGGGGATGGGAACAGCACTGGGGAATTGGGGAAGGGGAACAGACAAGTTGCTGTCGTTTTGTTCTTCAGTCTAGTTGTGGAGGACGTTGCTTCACTGGCCCAAGTTG